CGAATCACAACTCCCCTCAAAGGGAAAGCACAGGCGCAAAAAAAATAGAACTTGAAACGAAAAAAGACGCCGTGAAAGATACTCGGAATAAAGGTAGACCAAGGATATGAATAGGATGATACAAAATATTAATATCTCAGGGCTTCCCTCATAACTCACAGACGGCTGGTCACGTTACGCACGCTCCAAAGCTCATCCCGAGGGAAAACTTATGACGAGATAAGCAGGATGCGATGGCAAAATACGAGTGAGTGTCTTTGTACTTTTTTTTGTTGTGGGGTGAGGGGAGGAGAGACAAAAAAAACCTCGGGCTCTCTCTCTTTAAGACTGGTAGGGCCGAAGTGGCCATTGTATTTGCCCCGGCGAATTACAAGGGAGCATGTGTTTAGACCCAGATGAATGCACATTCAGTCGGCTCCTGCCGCTTCATATTTTTTTATTTTTCCTTTTTTTTTTACAACCCGTGGGCCATTATGCCCTGACATAACTCGTCAAAAATATTGTGATTGGCTGGGCATTGAATATGACGTTACCTGGACCAGAAATCCTCGAAAAATGCGAGCGACCAATGAGGGAGAGGGGTTTGTGGATGAAAGGGAAGAAGAAGTACCGCTTTTTTTTTTTGAGGGGAGGAGAGGAAACGATACGTTTGCCAAACGGATGAGGTACCGTCTTGCGTCTTTTTTCGGGTTTTTCAGTTTTCGGAAATATGACGAAATATGATATTATTTTTGTGACAGCGGACTTTTTTGGTGAGATCCTCGGGTTTTGTGTGCCACCGGGGATTATTTGGTGAGTGATTGTTATTATTATTATTCATTGTCAAAACTCGGAATATTTGGACGCGACGAATTTCCGCAAATATTTGGAAGAAAAACAAGGGTGAACCCAGGACGCGCAACAAGTGGACGGGGTGGGGAGTAAAACCACGGGGGGAAAAAAAGGTCACATCGATGTCAAGTCGTAGGAAATAAAAAAGTCACCCCTCCAGGCGAATCGGGCTAATAAAGGCCTCGTGACAAGACCAGAGCGATTTTCCCTCGCGGAGGGGTGGAAACACCGGGGATGAAGAGGAAAAGAAAGAAAAAAACAAAAATTGGGGAGAAAAGATAGGAGGCTTAAACGCTTCTGGGCGACACAATAGAATTTTATCGAGGGATAAAATTTTTCTCTCAATCTTCTCCTCTCTTTATGTATTTTTCTCGGTGGAATTCGGACCGCGCAGCCCTCTTGAACTCCTGGTGGATAGTGAATCGTTTGACTCACAAATAGGAAAATATAAAGAAAGGCAATAATGCGAATGTCGATTAATTCTCGAGCTCTTTGATCTCACTCCCATTTGCGATTAAAACCCAACGGGAGAGCAAATATCGAGGCTTTCGATGTTTAGTATGAAAAAAGAAAAAAAAAATCAATTACATGGGAATGCCTCTGCTGATTGCCATCAGCTTTTACATCCTCGAAAACCTTTTGCGGATCCCTCGATGTGAATTTTCTAATTCTCTGGGTAAACATTCTGTGCCCAGTGGGGTCAGATGATGGGGATAGCCGTTCCATCGAAATGTATCCGATGTCAAATGGGGGCTGGAACACCAGTCACGTGTCACTTTGAAGGAAAGTCTCCCCCAGCAATTACAAATATCATATTTCCCTTTACAAATCTCGTTAAAATTTCATTCGGATAATGTTAAAAAATGGCATTTTCCAACACAGGATTTGGAATTGGGGGTTTCTTGGAGATTTTTGACGGGACACGACGCATTTTGATTATTGATGTGGAGAAAATTCAACGCTAGCGTTGCTACATCGGGGGAGAAAAAAATAGGCAAACAGCGCTCGATTAATTGACCCTTTGCATTGATATGTCATTTGTAAGGACTACTCTGCAACGATTACAAACGAAAATGGCTGTAGTCTGGAGAAGGCCGGAAGGGGTTTGGTGAATATATCCAGGAACTCTGTGATCGGTGGTCCGTGTAATCGCCAAGTATGCAGATGATTAAATTTGCAACATCATCGCAGCAACCCTAAAGGGAGGGAAAGGGGGTCGTTAGATACTCTGCAGGAGTTTGACTCTCGTGGTCTGCCTCTGCCAAAGGATAAGCCTTTTCTTCAGAGTCACATTCTTTCCACTTGTCACGTGAGTTTTAATTTTATTTAATTTTCTACATTATTTTTAAACTGTCTCAAGGTAATTTCAATTAATGGCTGTTTCATTGATATTTCAGGGACTCTCGGCAGTGAAAATTGATTGACTCCGGATTTTTTCGACATGTTCACAAATATTTTTTTTAAGTGCACAAAAATACTCCGTCTCTCATTCTGTTTATCTCAGGTCGCCTCGGTAATGATCCCTTCGTGATCTATTATCCGAATGAATGTGTACGGACAAAAATCTCTCCCCCGTGATATTCGTAAAGAGAAATAGGGGGCGCATTGAAAAACCACAAACCACATGCCTCATATAATGAGATTTAAATTACTGTGGGACTGTGACAAGGTGTCTACACGACTCCCGAATCGAATTCCTGAATTCACATATTTTTGTGATTGTGATTGAATTTGAAGTTGTGGGTTCGATAGTGAAATTAATTCAGTGAGTGTTGTAATGGACTTAATCTACACTGATGTGAGTGAGATAAAATTTTTGAGTGACGGAGTATCTTTGGGACGTTTTTCCATCTGGAATTTTTTATTCCTCGATGGAGTTTTTTTTTTTCTTCTTTGGACAATCAATTAAGTCGGAGTGCGGGGCAAAACTACAATTTAGAACGCATCAAGTATCCATCCTTGGGAAGAGCGTGACATTCCTTGCGTGACGAGGAGTACCTGGTGACCCGAGAGGACAACGATCGCCTCCAGGCACACTCACGGATATTCATCGATCATATCAATTCATCATGAATATCAGTTTATCTCAGGTGGAGGTTTCAAGAGGGAATCATTTACTTCAGCTCTCTGGATATATGAAATAACGCACATATCTAGGTGAGTGTTTGAAATTGATCATTTATTTCAAGAAATTGTACATATAATTGTAATTATTACACATGATAAATTACTAATTATCAAATTTTGTATTTTTCAGGTAGAAATTACAACAAATAATGGCTGATCCAGTTTGCAAGGTGAAAAATATGTGAACCATGTATGAAAAATATGTTTAACAAATTGTTTTGTAAATATAATGAATAAAAGTAATTACATCATTCACATCGTCGCCTCTTCCAAAAAAATCCTAACATCAACTTAACATAACACCTTTTTATTATGCAATGATATAATTTTAAGTCGTTGAGAAATAAAAATTTAGCCAGCAATGACGTCATCAAAAAAATAAAAAGTCACGTGACCGGAAATGACGTCATCAAAAAATAAATAGTCACGTGACCGGAAATGACGTCATCAAAAAAATAAAGAGTCACGTGACCGGAAAT